CTAATAGTTGGCAAGAAGTTAGCTGTTTAGCCTTCTTGTTGGAATCGTCGTATTTTGCAGGCGCTCACTAAAACGTAGACTTTTAGCAGGGGGTCCTCAGAACCAGCCAGTCTTGGTTGTCGCTTCGGGGCAAGATTCCCTAAGATATCACAAGCCGAACCCCAAAGACTACCCCCCAAAAACTGGGCGAGATTCCCGAAGATATCACAGACCACAACCCTGCCCGGGAAGGACACTGAATCTGGGTGTGTCTTAAAAAAGGGGTTCCCACAGAATGGTCGGCATTTGTTGTTGGTTACAATTGAAAACCCACCAAAAACAAGTCCCTCAAAAATGACGAACACAATTCGAAGCTTTGCGTGTGAGCGCTGTTTGAGGCTGCCCACACATACCATTTTTCGCCTTGCCCGCCCTACCCCCAAAAAGGTGGTCTGGACGTTCGGTATCCTCCACCATGTTTCGAAAGGTACTGGGGTTCATTTTATTCCAACCAATCCGAGCCACTAACTAAGTGCGACGCATGCCCGTGTCTTGTTTTTGAGGGTACCCCTTTTTAAGTTGGAAGAAAACCACATGGGAAGCACCGTGTTTTCTTCTGCTTTGTTGTTTTCCCTCTTTTTTTTTGGGGGGGGGGGAGGGGTTCAGTTCCTTCTCTTGAGACACCCCTGTTTCGCAGGGAACCCGTGGAACTGCCAGCGTCGGTAAGCCTATCGGAACGGTCAAATCTGCCGCGACTTGTGCCCGCACATCGGCTTCAAGGGGGGGGAGGGGGTGAAAAAACATCTCAGGGGGTACACGCTCCAAAACCAGTAACGAAGCTAGGGAGTTCAGCTGGAACGAACGTGTTGGTAACCTTGACCAGTAACATCCCAGTAAGATATCACAAACACGCCAACCCAAACGTGCAGTGAATGTCCGTGGGACAAAAGGTGACCACATTGTTGCTGGTAGTTGACTTCAAATGGAAAGAAACATCACCAAAACGGGTTTTGAAGGACACACATTCTTCTTGCCCTTGGTTTTGGGTAACGCTGACCCCTTCACAAACCCCCGCCCTTCTTAGTGGCTTCCTTTCTTCCAGAGTCCCGGACGCCCCTGACTCTAGTTTGAAACCCCTCCTCCCTTGGTTGACGTTGGAAGGGGAGCAAAAATTTAAATTTGAGCAGTTCAGTGCGGGTTTCAATCACTAAACCACAATAAGCAAAAATGGGAAAAATGTTTCCCAACAGCAACCATGCTCCGGGGTCCACTAACAACCTACCTCGAAGCGACGTCAACGCGAGTCGCTCTGTGCGCCTTGGCGGCCTGCAGCTCCGAAGAGCTCTCTGAGAGCTTGGCTTTGAGCTCTCGTGTCATCGCCTAAATCGAGAGCTCTCGGGTCCTGGGTCCCTGAGAAACGGAACCCCGTTTTTATTGGCGGAAAAAAAAACAAAATTTCTTTCTTTTTAAACCAAAGAAAACAAAACACACAAAAACATCCGGTTCAACTATGTACAAGCGGGCGTCGTAAGTCACCCCACGTCGCGTTAAGTCACCCCAGCCATCCCCAGCCGCTTGGAACTACGCATATCCGTTTAAGTCACCCCACGCGTTACCCTAATTTTTGCAAAGCACAATGGGCACAGAACTGGAAGGGCGATGTTGCCAACCACAAGAATTCACCGCACACTGCACGCACATGCTCAAAACTCACTGGTTTGGGTTCATGTTGAATGCTTTTCCCGGGCAAAACCCTATTGGGCACACTGCAATTAACGGGTTCCTATCCTTCAAACATAAATAGTGTTTTCTGTTGGTTCCCCCGGAACACCCGACAAAAGGGCTGCCGGCGCGAGTGCCGCGCGACTCTGCGCGAGTGCCGCGCGAGCGCCGGGTGAGCCGTGCCCTCATCCCAATGAACATTTTGCATGCGCACAGCACAGAATTATGCGATTTCAGAGAATGACATGCTTGAGACAACTATCTTTACATCCACAAACACAACGGGCACACTCACCCGGGACGACTTAGATCAACCCGGGACGACTTACAGCACTTACCCTGTAACTATGGTTTCCTTTGAGGGAACCCCTAGGCTAGGATTTTTCGGGAATGACCCCAAGAAAACCATCCAACTGGTGGTGTCCTTTAAGAGATTTTTTTCGGTTCATGCCCAACACACGAAAAGTCATTCCCTGAGCAGCGGCAAAAGAAAAAACACCTATTTAGAGTAGCTTCCTCCGAATTGGTGGTTTGCATTGGTGGTTTAGGCTTTCCATTTTACCCTCCACAAGCACCAGGGGTTCAAATCCTCAGTTCCCACCAATCCAAACACCAAACCAAGACTTACCTGAGTTGAAGTCAACAGGGAAAGTGAAAAGCAAACTTAAGCAAATGGAACTTGTCTGTCTTGTTTGGGCCCTTCGGTTCATGACACAGCAAGTCGCAATGTGTCTGTGTGTTTCCCAAAAAATTGACGCCCAACGTAGGATAAAAACCCTGTGGTTGAACCAATCCACGACTCAGTTGCTCTTCCCATGTATCCTGTAGGTTCAATGCAAAACCCAATTTCTTTCGGAAAGGCCAGCCATAAAGCCTCCTCGCCACTGAGCCGTCTGAGCTCTGAGGCACGATGTTCAATCAAGCTAGACCAGGAAAAAAGAAGGCTCTGTTCGGCAGACATGACTAATCCACCAAAACACGAAAAATCAGATCGCGATTCGCTGTGGGCAAGTGAGTATAATCAATTTTGCTACAGCTGAAGCTCGAAGCAACTTGGTTGCTGTTGACCCCCTGCCAAAAGTTTAACATGTTTTGAGGGTTAAATGGAAAGCCAACTTGATTTCCCCGACGAAGCTAGCGTCTAAAGATCCATAAGCCCTCTGGCCAAAAAACTGCACAAACAGCTCTAGTAGTGAACTCGATTCGCGTTAAAACCCACAAAGGCAATGTATTTCCAGCAAATGGAAGCCTTCCAGCAATCAAAGCTAGGGAAACCACAAGGGAAACTCCAATCATTTTTGGGGGGTCCAACCCACGGTGTGACCCCTCAAAATATGTGCTTATCAACGAAGAACCGTGCTTATTGAATAGCCTTCCCCCAAATGGATGGCTGCTTTCAACAAGGAAATCCGGCGCTGGATCTCGGCTTTGCTTCGCGCTTCGCGCCTGTCGGCGCTTCGCTTCTGAGGCGACCAGCCGCAGCTCGTGCCTTTGAGTGCCCAGAGCTGCAAAAAGGGGACGACGCGGAATCAAAAAGAAGGGCAATATACCCTCCAAGCTAGTTGGAGAAAGGGTATGTGGAGCCTACAAAGGACGGGGTTCGCCCGGACGGGCTCGCGACCCCAGCTGCTCATGCCCCAGCTGCCTCAAGCCCCTCTGTGGCAAATCCCTGAGGCCAGACCGGGCAAGAATTGACGACTGGCTTCTAGAGGGGAATTTGACCGGTTTTTGGGAGGTTGCTAAAGGGGAACTTGACCTGTTTGTAGGGCATTGTTTCTTCTAGTGAGAGGTCAGGTTCTGCCCTTTACTTTAGAACCTCCCTTCAAACTCCCTACAATAACCAGGCACATCCCCTCTGGTCAAATCAACGGCAAAAAGCCGCAAAAACCGGCCCAACTGCAATCATCCCCAAGAAACCAATCACATTCCCCCCAGAAACCGGTCAAATTCCCCTTTAGAAAACAGTCAAATTCTATAAAACCGGTGCCCTATACTGGTCAAATCCTCCTAGAAACCAGTCAAATTCCTTACAAATTAGCTTGGCCCCATCCCACTGCCCTTCTGACTGCGGCTCTCGTTCTTCTAGCCCTTGAAGCCATGCTCTATCTTGGAAACCACCTCACACATTGAAACACATCACTTAAGCCAAAACACAGTACCTCACAGGCAGCCAAAAGCATACTGGCTCTGGCGGGCAACGCGAAGCGTTTACAATCAATACTAAACCAACACATGCTCCGCTGACGCTAACTGCAGTCACATCACGGGGTTGCCCGACAAAGAACAAAACTCTGCTTTCCGTACCCTGAGCCAATTTATGTGAATTCCCTGCATGGCACCTTGCAGTTTTGATGGCTTCTTTGCCTGGCAAAGGGAAGGATTACACTTTTGGACTGGAAACAGGAGTGAAATACGATATAATATCGCCTGGGACAGAATTGCTGAATCTGTTTTTCCACGTTTGGAGTGAATGTACCAGGGACCAGGAGCATGTTCCGTAACTTTCTGCATGTGCGGTGCCACTAAAAACAAAACACCACACAAAGCATTCTCAGCTAGTGTACACAAGTGAAAATGTCATCTTTAGATTCTGCTCCAGATTCAATGAACCTTACAACATACAATAGTAGTATGTCAGAAAAGGTCGCAAATATGGCCGTACTAATATCGACTCCGGAATCATCTGGAGAAACACACTACTCAAAGGACATCCCCGAACTCGAACAAAAGAACATGAAATCAAATATGGTGCCGCGTTGATTTAATCCGGAGTAGACATTCAATAGGCCATGGATGGCCATGGACCGCAAGCTCGATCATGGATGGCCATGGACCGCAAGCTCGACTTCATTATTTCCAAGAAGATGGTCATCCTAGTGTCCCTAGTGTAATCATGGCATTGATGTGTTCAAAGCAAAAGCAAAGCAGCACTTGGTGGGATAAGGCCTCATCCATCCCAGCTAGGGCCATGGTCATTTCTCCGATTCTGGCCATGGCTTTGTCAGGAACCCTTCTAGTGGTCAAAATTCCCTGGGGGCCCGCCATCCGGAACCCAATCAATTGAGCATGCCACATATCGCTTCCCCACAAGGATCTGGAACAATTGGGTGCTTCGCCCGCATCCCTATGGAGGGTTGGGAACCCCTGGCGCAATTGAGCAGTGACCAACACCGACTGACTTTGTACCAAAACGGATTCAACGGATATACATTGCGAATGCCAGGTAGATGAAGGTGTTGGGCGCTGCTCAATTGACCATTGGATACCGCAACTTCCCCGTTTGGAAAATTCGAATGCCCCCTCCCCCTTGCCAAAACCAGCAATGCAACCACCTCTCACCTGTTGTGTCCACGTAACGGCTGAGGTCTGTGGCCAGGTGGCCATCACAGAAAACAAGCCTTCTTGGAAAGCAAGCTAGGAAAGAAGGCAGTCGCCCGAAGTGTCCGAGGCTGGGTCTGACCTTTCAGTCATCCTACTTTGAGTACCCTCAAATAAAACCCACTGCCCGAGTGGATTAGCCAAACAACTTGCTGCTTACCACTAAAATGGTCATCTCAAAGATATAAAGTCCTGAACCCCAGGGGAAAATGAAGGGAAATGAAGAGGACACGACGGAAAAGAAACAAAAACACCATGACCGGGAAATGAAGGGAAATGAAGAAGAAATGAAGGATAATAAATAACTATGACCGGGAAATGAAGGGACTTGGAGGGAACAAGGCACCTCCGACCCCTGCCTTTTGGTCACTCACTTCGCAGGGTGCCCGGCTGCATGTGTTGACTGATCTTCGGCGAGCTTTGGTTCGCCATTCGAGCCTCGAACAGTTCGATCCGTGAAAACCACAGGGAAGCACCCGAGCCGATTGCTTGAAATTGATGGGAATCAAATCCTGGAACTGATAGACACCGGATCATGGATGGCTTGCGGTCTATGGAGCAATGGACTCATCCTGGGTTCCCATTTTGGAAAACCTGCCTTTAAAAACTATGCCCCTCAAGCAGCGTGCGTTTGGAGGAGGGGGAATCAACCCCTGGAACTGATAGACACCGGATCATGGATCATGGCTTGCGGTCTAAGCAATTATGGACTCATGGATTGAGACAATATGGATTGCGGTGTATGGACCATGAGTGAGGCCGAGTCGAAACCTATTGCCTATTGCGGATTGTGGATTTGCCAAACCCTGGTTGGTGACAAAGGTCCCCCTTTTACTGCAGATCCAGATCACTTCTGGCAAACACCTCCAAGCATCAACCACCATGTTTTCTTTACTATTCTTCATCCGGTCTCAGTGAAAGGTTGTACTCCGATCTTCGATAAGGAGGTCTCACGAGGAAAGGCCGAAGAAGGAAAAGCCTTGCAATGGGTGCTTTTCAAAGTTGCGAGGGCCCAACTGACAACAAGCATTCGGGAGGCATAAATTCCATACCTGACCATCCCGAGCCGAGCTCGGCGAGCGACTTGGCCCAATAACTTTGTGATGAGAGAGACAGTGGGAACCTAGCCCCAGGTGTCCACAACCATGCCTTGGTCCAATGGGGCACACTAAAGCGTGCCTTGTTCATTCTGTTTAGACCACCTGTGACCTGTGAATATAAAATTTGCTCTGCGGACCGAGATGCCAGGCCAGAATTCTATAGCTGCCACGCGAAGCCATTCGCCCAAGAAGGGCTTGCGGCATCCCCCTGGCTCTTTCCCTCCAAGTGAATCGTGTTCCCAGCCGCGGAGTGGAACCAGGAGTCGTGAAGACGCGCCACCCCCTGGTTCACCAGTCAGGCGAGGAGCCGAGATCTGCCTTTGGCCCGACGGTGCGCGGACAGCACCACCTCTTTGCTGCAACCGCTTCTTCTATGACCATGACTTCACTTGGCTTGTAAGTGCCCCAGCCAAGCTGTCTCTTTACACGAGCAACTTGTTCAGTAGGCCCAAAGCGTGAAGGCAGAATCAAGCACGGACTTTGATGTGGTCCACTTTCCGTGTTCCCTGCCTGCCACAACTGGTTTAAACCAGGCCGCGCCGTGAACGGCGTTCATCTTTTGGAGCCATGACAATCGGCACCCCGAAAAAGCGAAGCTGAAAAGGTTGGCTTTGGGATGGGACTCAGATGCTCAGTGACCATGGAAAAAAGGGGCATCCCTTTTTGGTTGGTTCCGCCCCTTTGCTCAAGACCCCCCCCCCCCAATTGGAGTGAGAGCCCACATCCCGGCCAAAAATCAGGGCGTCCCGCTAAGGGGAAGGGCCAAGCATGAATTAAAGCCATCTCCCAAAAAAGGGAAAAAAGGCACCGCTGGGCAACTGGGGGGGATTTCGGGCACAGCTGCACGCCTCTGCCTGTTGCAGCATGGCCCGGAAATTGGCCGATGCCTGCGGGGACGAACGTCGGGCGTCCGCGCCCACGCGAAAAAGGGGGGGGGGGGGTAAGGATCATAAGCCTTTTGCCAAATCAGGTCAAAGAAGGCCTTATGTTCCCTCTAACAATCACCCCTCCAAAACAGCTCAAAAGGAAACTCGTGTTCAAAAGCTGAATTACAAGGAGCTCTGACTAATGCATCCAAATCTCACGTCTGATGAGATGGCGACCCACTTACAATCTAAAATGAGTTGTCGCTATTCGCAAAGCTCCAAACGCCATTGGGTTTCAAGGGCATTCTCGACGCACTCTGGGGGTGGGTGGGGGCATCGGCTAACCATGTGAGGCGACCCGAGAAACAAGCTGTCCCCTTCCTAGCATGCGTGGAGGAGTCTCTTCGCAATTCCAGTGTTCCAAAGGAAACATGAGCCACAATCAAAATGAATGTTTGTAGGGGGACAATCCCAGTCATTGTATGATAGGTGCGGCCGCTGTTTGAATTATTTCGTTGGTTTGGGTGCACCATTTTAATACCAGGCTTGATTCTGACTCAAGTCAAGTTACAAATGAAGTTCCGTGGCCAATCAAGTTATAAATGGAATTCAATGGCTTACCCTCCACAATCTCAGTTGCAATAACTCCGGAAAAGAAACTCGCGGCGAGCGCGTGCGATTTTGCGGGGGATCCACTGGTGGGAGAAAAACACGGCTTTTCTTCCGTGACGGTCGAATGGATGAGGTGAGCAACGGTGAAACAACACGAAGTTGTACTTGTAAAGGGGATGACATGGGGCGCACTCACAAAGCAGACCTTCGGCACCCACCAAAGTCACAAAGTCACAAAGTCGCAGGATCCCCAGCTGGCAGTATGAGTGTGGAGATCGCGCCCCGGTTTTTTTGGGGGGAAGCCAAAGGGAATCTACGCAGGTTTCTACCCGTGAGCTTTTGAAGGCCGGGGCAGCCTGATGTCACAATTCCCTTTCAGCAGGTAGGGGGGAGTGTGAAAACAACAATTGAGTCCTCTACGTTCACCCAACTGCAAGGGCAACAAACGTGATACCGGACAAAGGGGTTCTTCTTTTGTAATTGTTTATCTTCCAGGTGCCGTTCCAAATGTTTTCTGTAAAGTATTAGCCTTTTCATCCGTTCTCTGTGGCCCCTTAAAACTTAAAACTGTCCACCAAGTCCAGAAATGGTAAGCCCAGACATCGGTGTGTCTTTTTTGAGGCTGCCGCCCCCGTTTTCTGGCTTCAAGAAAACCCACCTTCTTCTTTTCTTTGGGGGGGGTTGTCGCCAAAGAAGCAAATCAGAACGCCTCCGCGGCGGCTTTTCGCTCGTCTCGCCAGAGTCGCAGCTCCTGGATACACTTGGTGTACTTGGCAGTGTACTTAGCCCACTGAACGGAGGCTATCACCATGGCTTTTGTGGGTTGTATCATGGCTTGTGTGGGTTATATCTATGGCTTTTGTGGGTTACAACCATGGTAATTACCCACTTACCTGACGTACCAAATCGATCGCCCCTTTAAGCAGGGAATGGAGTGCCAGCTTCTCCCAATGGGAGTGGAAGTCAAAGGAAACAACACCGCGTTCCAACACTGGTTAAAAGGCAAAGTGTCAAATGAGGCACACCAAAAGACGTGGAGGGGTGAAACCTCCCGTCTTCCAGGAAGATGGTGCATCACAGAGGTGTGGTTGAAGGCAACCCCATGTTAGACACCACTCCTATCAGATCTGGATGGAAAGGAATCTCGTCGAACCATTGCAATGTACCCATTTGAGGATGGCAGCCTCCGGGCTTTTACACCTTTTGGGACAGATTGGCACAGCGAGAGGGATATACTGTGGACAGCCAGACCACGCCCGATGTTTCAACCCGCCAACAAAAAGGTGAGGGTGCCGGGTGCGGTCACAAATGTCTCATCAAACGTGTCCAACAGGTGGAGCCGTCGGTTCACCGGCTTGATTCCCAACACGGAACCCATCTCCCAAGACAAGAGGGGAGGTGGGCACTTTTTGTGCTGGTTCTTAAGGGGAAGTTGTCCACCCCATCTCGGTCCCTCTGAAAAAAAAGAGAAGGACAATGCCACCAGGCAGCGAGACAATGTTTGTTCCAAATTCAAGAACCTGGTTGCCTGAGCTACAAACTGCCCGGATTTTGGACATTGCGTACTCTTACAGGGAGACTTGGACTCGTTTTTGGACTCATACTTGCAAACGGAAAAGCGCTAACTAGTCACACTGGCAACAAAAATCCATCTGTAGTTCCGAACTGATCCATTAGTAAACCCAATGGCGCTGCTAAATAAGTGTATAATGCTGGTCAAAACGCGAAACATCGGGAATACCCGCGTTTTTACAAGTGCTCTCGAGACATTACGCATTTGGTTCCCAAAGGCACGTCGATATCGTTGATTCCGTGTCGCTGACATCACCTGCCGGTTCTCCACTGGCAAGGCCAACACGATTATCCCAGTAGGGGCTGAATGGTTGCTATTTTGATTCTAGAATCATGACTTGTTATTGCTAGTAACCCAAAACACCAATTTCACTTCCCACACCTCCGGTGGCCATTGGACAAAAATGCCACCTTTGTTGGGACTTGAGTCTTGAGTGTAAGCGACCCAGCCATGCACCTAAGGCGGGTGGCACGGACGTCTAGGTGTGGCACCCGCCCTTCCTTCCCGATCCCCGGCCTGGGCCATCGAGGCATCTGGCTCGCAGGGTGCTGCTTTTGGTGTCGCCTGCGACCGAAACGGGGGAACGTGAGCGCATGAAACCGGGAGCCTTAGTCGTTGAACTAATCAGCGAGGCAGGGTATCTATTACTTGCACTTACGCACTTAGGCACAGCATGCAAATTTGACTTGAGTGTTCGGCTTCCTTTACGCTTTCAGCTGTGCATCCATAAAGGAGTCACTGATCTAGTTTGCATTAGGCTTCCTGGGGCTCCTTGTTCAACAACTGAGAAGAGCAACATAATGTAGGCGGCATGCTAAAACCAAACCGGACGGCACCTGGGATCCAACAGCCGTGTGCGGCCGAACTCCTGATTACCCTGCAGTGACGGTCATATTTTGCACTGTGTGCAAAGTGTTTGCCATGTCACGTTGCACCTCACCGGGCTGCGATTGTTTACATATCGGCAGCAATTGTTTCCCGAACCTTTTGGTGTCCTCACATCCTGAAAGTCCAAACTCATTATTTGCCACTGAAATGGTTAAACCCAAACAATTGAAAGTCCATGAACTCAGGGAGTGAGTGCCCCTTTAAAGGGGGCCGTCTGGTTTCACAAATGCCCACCTGGGACTGCCTCCCCTTCTCCCTGAAGCCGTGGATGGTAAGCCCGGTTCAAAGCAATGAGCTCGGGCAAACAGGACACACTCCATCCCTTTGTGGTCTTGAAAGACGACCACCAAATTTACATGCTTCACTTCGGAATCTGGAGTAGTCAGAGGGACCTCCTGAAATCGACCATTGAAAGTCGAACCACTGATTGGTACGGTCCTCCACATTAATCCGAAGTTAGCAGTATGTGGGTTCTTTAGCAGGCCGTGTTGAGGACTTTTTGCCGGGTTCCCCTCCAAATGCCTTCAGGTTAGTGTCTTCTGATTGAAACTACCTTAGCCATGCAAAGGGGTGATGACTGGAACTGACCCGAGAGCCGTCGCAAACCTCCCGTGCTGCCCAAAGCTCAACAAAACGTCAACACATTTCGCTGAGGCAGGTGGCAAGCATTTTTTTTTAAAAGAACAATCAAAAAAAACACTCCTAGACGAATGTTAGACTTTTTTCTAGAAATGGGAAGCCAGGATTCAGCAAACCCTGGTCGACTAAGAGGGATCCCACTTCAGAGGGAATCATTTGTTTTCGGCTCTTTGTCCACATGGCTGATTATTGCGGGGTGAACATCCGTAGATGCAACTAAAGCAGCTTGAACAGATTGCTCGCCACGAGTCTTCCCGAGTCTGCCCAAACATTGAAGGTCTATAGGAACTCAGGGTCCCAAGAGCCTGTCGTCTGGGAAAAGCGTTTGGAACTCATGAAGGACTGCAAGAATTCACCAACCATAGGAATCCCGAAGGGCTGTCATAGGAATCAGCACTGGAAAGGTAAGTTCAAGTTCGGTCATCATTGCAACGAAATCAAAGGTTGGGCTTTGGGAGCCACCTGAAGAAAATTGATAGGTTTCTTCAAGAGAGTTGCTCAACCTTGAGGCAGACAGATACGACACAAAACCACAATTCCGATGTTCTACCTTGTCGATGGGTCATGATGCTTTTTCTGGTTCTCAGCATAACCCCCAAATTGTAAACCATCCAACTAGCTTACCTTCAAGGTGATCCCGGGTTTCGCTCAGAATGAACCCCCAGAAACCGTTGTGCAAGTTCTGCGGGATCGGATCGATTCGTTTCCTGCTGGCCGATTCGGACACGCGTCGATTCGCGTTGCTTCGCGGCGACCGGACCGGAACGCTGGTGTCCAGGATTTGGCGTGCCAAATCAAATGAGTCTTTCTTGCGCGGAAAGGCTTTTTAGCGAGCTCGAAGTCTCAAAGCGCAACCCTTGGACCAGCAACCCTTGGGATGAGCGGAAACCAGAACCAACAAAGAAACCAACTTCAGCTTTGGGCTCCAACTCAATGGACCAAAAGAACACCCTGGCTGACCAAAAGCGCGCCGAATTTTCGGCCATCAGCTTTTTGCGCTATGGATCGATCCCTGACCCAGGGGCCTCCAGGTTGGGATTTCCGCGTTTCTGTTTGCGAGCTATGGGAGTGTTGCAGTGGAAGTCTGCAAGTCTGGCCTCTCAAGTGATCTCTTGCGCGCCTGAGGCTGCGGCTGCACTGGCCAGTCAGGCAAGACCTCTGAGAGGCTACTGGCAAACACAAGCTGGGTGAAAGTAGATGGCACAAACTCTATGTCACTTTCCCACGCTACTTCAGTCATCCTCTACTTTGACTTGAATGACCCGATAGGTGGGTTCAGTCATCCCATCATCCTCTTCTCCATTGAGGGAATAAGGCCATCTACTTTGGTTGACCCAGGATATTCCGCCAAATGGGCTCTAGAATGATACATGACTGTCCTTTGCTGCAAGCAACCCGTTGCGTAGAACCCGTTGAGGGGCCCCTGACGATTTGCTGGGTGAAAGTAGTGGGCGAATTCAATCTCCCCACGTCCAATGGCCCGGCCGCCTTGAGTACTCCCCTGCTCCACATGGAACCCGAAACACCACTACCCCAGACCGTCCCCCCAGAGACATGTTGGACAAACACGCCAAATAAGAAGTACAACGGCCGTATGAGTCAGGGGTGCACGCGCTGTTCACGAACCGCCTTTGCCGATTCAACGTGCTTGGAATCAAAAACCAACTGCGGAGTCTTCGACTGATCATTGAGTTTGATCATATCATTTCCAATAACATCGCTTTTGTCGTATGCAGTCTTGGCCACATTATAAAAGTCGAATAACGATTTTGCCATGGATACAATGTACTTCATCACATTGTACGTAGAAGATGAATCCAATCCAGATGTTGGTTCATCAAGTAAAAGAATCGATGGACGAGAAGGCAATTCAATTGCAATGCTCAATCGTCGTTTTTGTCCACCCGATAAACCTTTGCGGAAGATATCACCAACGATGGTATTTTCACAGACACGCCATTCATCTCTGGATCCAACACGCGTTGTACATGAGCATATTCGGTCGCTGAACCACTCCAGCCGACACATTCCAGCAACAATTTCAATTTAGACGACGGAATGGTGCCTTTGAATTCAGGATCGCACTGCGACAAGCGGATGAGCACGAGAGAGAGACTAGGCGAGGGGACAGCAGGAACAACGTACCAAAGCAAAGGAATCTTCCGCGAGTTTGCCAAATCGGTATGTATCAGTTGGAGACCCTACCACCCCACCCCCGCTATACAGCCTTGGGCCTTTTTTCCTTGATGTCAAGGCCGACTTGGAAGGGGGGGAGGTCACCTTGTCATCGTAATCCACAGCCCTTCCAACAACGAGCCCGATAACAAATTAAGTGGTGGAACGCAACAACATTTTAGCTTTCTGCAGATCAGCCACTGAGACGCAACGAACAAGCCGTTCTTGTTGCGAGCCCCGCCATCACGCCGTCCTTACGTTTTCTGCGCTCATAGGCCGCCGTCGGCTCAACGTCTTCCAAGTCCAAGACCTCGATCACCTGCACAAGCGTGCCGTCGTTGTGCATGAGCTCCTCAAAGGCAATCCTCAGTTTTCCTCTGTTGGATTGCCAGGCCAGAAGAGGGTGGGTCAGGGAAAGCCAGCGTGCCCTCCAGCATCTCGCACCTGGACTGGGCTCGCAAGCCGCAAGGCTAACACAAACCATTGAGCTAACCAGCTCAATTCAATGAACATGGCGAATTTCAGCTCAGCCAAAGAGCAGGGTGCAGCCGAGCCAACATTGTCTCCAGCCCACACCTCAAGAAGATTATCTATCTTAGGGGGTCTTTGAGTGGGGTCCTCCGGGTTCCAAGAGGTGGTTTAGTCATGGACAACAGACTCTGCAACACCAAGGTCCGGGGCTTCCGGATATTTGCTTGGAGGGTAGGACAACTTGCAGGGGACCCCGGGATCCCTCTTTTTTGACACATATCCATGATAGCACCCGGTCTGGGCTTGCGCTTTTTTGTCAGAAGCAAACACCCAAAAAACCATTTAATGATGCCCTTCGGGCAAAAAGGCACCCCTGTTTGTACCAGATCTTAACCTGGCCCGAATCTGGGGGACTGGACGAGAAACAATCTGAACTGGTTCCCTTTCACCGAAATGGTCCCAAAAAGAATCAAGTCCAACTCAGGGAGTGGGACCTTCATGGCGCGCAGCTCGTGTTTTACCCCGGGAGAGGGCTCGATCTTAGTTGCACACATGTCCTCGAAAGTGATGCCGCCGAACTGGACAATTTTCGCAGGCAACGCAGCCCAAAAACCCAGGTGCAAAACCGGCAGAAAGCTGGCTTCGAATTGGCCAGACTTCCCTCCGCAAAAAAATACGGCTAGTGTCGGAGGAAGGAAACCCAACGGAACAAGGGGCCAGGTCAGCTCTTGGATGCTCCTTGGTTTCAGTTAGAACAACCCAGTCGAGACCACATCAGCCTATTAGCTCGGCTTGCCGGAACATTCATGATAAGTCATGTCGACAGGAGTCCTTGAAAGGGGGACCCCCAAAATTGTGGCTCCCCTCTCCCCCACAACCCTAGGTATGGATGCAAAAAAACACCTTACTGTTTGCAGCCCCTTTACTAAAAATGAACAGAATATGTATATATATATATATATTATTATAAACAAAAACCAACAAACTTGCGTTGGTTTCCTTTCCCCATAAGCCAACCTGACAAGGGTACCCTCAAAAAGCGCACAGCTTTGACTCTAAGCCAACGGCAGCAAGGGGCACCACGCCCTCCCTCTCCGCCAGCTCCTTCTTGCCGGTTTGGAATCCGGCCATATGCAAATGGGGTGCCAGAGCCGATTGTCTTTGAGGCTCCAATTCGATGTTTTTGGGCCCTCAAACAGCCAGGTTTTGAGAACCCCGAACACCTCCAGTGTGTCTAATGGAGGGGTCGGGTCTTCCATTGAAAGCCCCAGGAGCCTCTGGGTGTGAGAGACACCACCACAACAAGGGAAACCACGAACATCTGCAGAATCCTGCGGATTTTTGAGCAACCATGATCATGTTAACCCCGGATTCACAACCGGTTGATTCATAGACGTCATAGATGACCTTCTAGTTACCCTCCCACCGACTAACATGCCTTGCAAAGGGCCTGTGCACCAAACCATGTTAGCCGGACGAATTCTTTCGCTGGTGGTGACAACCCCCGTCTCCCGCAAAACTCCCAAAGCTTTGGTCGCTGGCTCCTCGTCCAAGAGCTGCAAGTCTGGGCAGGCACACAGCGCTGCGGAGCGGTAGCCTGCAACCCGGCGGAGTTCACCAAGAGGACTCCCTCCCCAAGAAAAAGGCTTCATACCCTGACTAAAGGGGGAACCACCCCGGATTGGATTGCCCCTTTATGGCGGATTAATCCGAATATTACTCAGCATGACCCATCTGGGCTACACAGAAAGTCATATGTTCAGACTATCTCCCATATGTAGTCTACCCTAAAAATATGTTTGGAGGAAACCCCAGGCATATCGACATGCAACAGAAACAGCTGCGAACACCCTAGAACAGGAAATAGCCCGACAAACACATACAACATGTCTGCGGTGCGTTGATCTATAATATGACCCCTCCGAAAACAAATGCAAAAAGCAGGAAATTACTTGCACCTGCCTAGAGACAAATCACTTTGACATTGGATACAACAACGGGACATCATCTGCGATAAATGCAGCATTTACGTCCATATATGATATAAACTATACACAAATAAAAACTGACACCAACAACACAACACACGTTGCCAGGCCTAAAGCTATACTGGTATACAATATATATGTATATATATAGTAGAAACTGACAACAGCGCATGGTCAACCTATATATATATAAATAATAATAATAATAATAATAATAATAATAATAATAATAATAATACTAATAATAATAATAATAATAATAATAATAATATGAATTGTGTATGCAAGCTAACCAAACGGCACCACACACGAGCACGCGATAACTCTTTCATCCGAGCAGTGTGTTGGTGCCAGGGACTCATCTTCCCCTGTCAGATGACCAACGCTGGGTGGGCCCCATGGGCCACCCAACTCACAATTCTCAAAAACTGAAGAACGGGTGTGCAGACTGATAGCGCCCGCCCCTGAGCCGGGGCCCGTGGCACCCAGGCCACAGGGGGGTCTGCCACCAGGGGAAGTGAGTCACCCACCGGCTCCGGTCACGGGAGCATGGGTGGGCCCACGCTGAGATCAAATGCATCTCCATTCAGGAGACGCGGGAGAAAAACAAACTCCTCACAGAGTTCCTGCTTGCGGACCCTTTGCAAGGGGTCGAACCCAGAGAAATCTGGGTGCGTCAGCTCATCAGCCCATTGATTGAATTCACGGGGCACATGGTTGGCCGCCAGCGAGCAGCCATGGGTGTGGAGCAAGAAGACCAGCTCCATCAGGATCGCCGCCGTGTAGGGCTTCTTGGATCCAAGGTTGAGCATCGCCATGACGTTGCCCTGATTGTCACTGCCCACCGGGAGTCGGACCCGGGAGGACAGAGGGCCTTGGTGCGTGAGGATCATGTTACAGAGGAAGAGCGTGCCCAGCATTTCCAGAGCTGCAATCCTCCGCTTTGGATCCCCATTCTTGAAAGCCCAAGCGTACTCCTCCACGTGGATCTGCTCATGGAACCAGTACACCTCCTTCTTGTCCGGTTCCACCGTGTTGGAGCACCAACCCCCCACAAATGCCAGTCCGTCGTCCGAGGCGCTAGCGTCGCTGCAACCCCACCAAGAGGACTTCGGCAAGTAGGGGGAGTACTGGACGAAGGGCGTGTTGAAGAGGAACCGCAGCATGAACGCCAGCATCCTGACCACCTTGGGGGGTTTCCCCACCGTGGTGGTGGCCATCTTCCAGGCCCAAAGTGGCTGGAGCATCGACTTCGCCAGCGGACATGCGGCCGTTGCCCATTGGATGCGGCCCAGGGCCTTCTCGATGTCCTTTGAGTGCATCGCCTGCCCTTCCACCATGGTCTGCAAAACCTCCATAACCAGGATGTGTTTGTTGGCCGCCATGAGAACCTGCGGGATGTTCGGGTGGACCACGAAGCCCAGCCACGTGTTAACCTCCGCCAAGTGCGTCTTCTTCCAGCTAAGTGGGGTGCCCAATGCCAGGAGTGTGGCCAGCAGCGCCACCGCCAAGTTCACTGCCCCCTCACTTCGAAGCAGCCACAGGAAATCATCGACGAAGACGAAGTTCCAATCCACTTGAGGGAAAAGTGCGTAGAGGACCCTGAGTAGAAGGGCTGCCAGGCGTCCCCAGTAGGATTGGGCACTGGCCATGCCGTATGTGCCTACCTTGTTCACCCACCATTCTTCCCCCAGTGAAGCCACCTGGAACCGCCAGTCCTTCCTGAGGACCTTCACTCTCCGGTGGGCCTTGGTGACGTCCGCCTTGAGCAGCACCCCGGCTCCGGCCACAGCCAGCCCCCAGGTGGAGGTTTGACGATCCCGCACCCTGAGAGGGGGGTCCCTCCGTAGCTGCCGCATGTAGCCAATGGAGAGCTTGGACCCCATCCAGCACCGTCGGAGCCGTCGTCTTTTCCACCGTCTGGTTCCTGATGGTGTCATTGGCCCCTCCCACCGAGCCATCGTAGATCGTGCGGATCTTGTCCCCCTCGTCGATGCCCGCTAGGGGGCCGGGACAAAGGTCCTTGCTGCCGCAGCCACATCGCGCTGCTGCCTCCTCCTTACTGAAGGGGCCCTCCACCATGCCCATGGGGACCTCCTCCAGAAATGTGCCCCGGATGAGCTCGCTGAAGTGATCCGCCGAGGGGTAGTTGCCCATGCCCGTTGGGTGGGGGAGTTCCTGGAACTCCGGCTCCTCCCCTTTCAGCTCCTTCTTGAGTGGCCAGATGCCCGGCGAGGTCAGGGGTGGGTCCGTGACCCCCAGTGGGACCCCTTGCTCCAGGTCCCGGGGAAACTGGTGGTCGGGGTCCTGAATGTTCAGAGCCACGCTGTGCAAGATGTCCAGGAAGAAGGGTTGGCCGTCCGCTGGTCGGCCTGCCCCCGGCGCCAGAATCTCCCTGATGTCCTCCAGCAGGTCCTCCGGGAAGGGATGTGCCTGGAGATATTGGGGTCGTGCGTGATCGGCAGGATGGTGGGCCGATCCGAGATCTCCATGCCCTGGTGTGCCCATGGATCCAGGGGAAGAGTTCCCCCCCCAAGTTCATCCACCTCGCCAGTCCTCTGTGTCGATGTCCCAGCCTCTGGATTATCCGAGGCCGAGACCGGAAGTGAGCCCAAGGTCAGACCTGCCAACGCTTGTTGGCCCGCCTTCAGCCTCCTGGACTGGCGCTTGTTGTCCCCCGGCGTGCTGGGAGAAGGTTCCCTTGGACGCCTCGGGGGGGTCGTTGGGTTAGCCTGGGGCGCCATGCCCCCCGGCCTCAGCGCCTCCAGGACGGGTCCCGCTCGGCAAAGGATGGCCGCTGCGAGACCCTGCATCATCTGCTCCGGGTACCGGCTGAGGTCACTGGAGTTGAGCTTTTCTCCCCTGGGGTGAGACCCGTGGTTGCAACGCAGGTCATGCCAATGGTGGAGAGGAAGGTCCGTTGACAATGCCGTGGACTTCACAACCACCTGGCCCAGGCGGCACTCATCGAACTTGATGAGGGAGTGGTGGAGTGCACTCGCCCATTGAACGTAGGCCCGCGTGACCCAGATCGATGAGCACCTCGCTGCGCTCGGGCTCTTGCTGCACTCCATCGGGTCCATCGGGTGCTCCAGGAAAGAGGAGCCAACCTGCGGGACCGTTAGCTGACCTAGCCCCTTGTAGGCCAGCGAGGTCAGGTACATCTGTCGGAGCATGAGCACGCTGTCATTGTCCGTGTCCTCCATAACCCGGGGCTCCAAGTCCTCTAAGCCCCACAAGGTCTGCTCTGCTCTGCCCCTCACCGGCGGCGGGCCACCCGGTTTGGGGAACCACCTGAGGATGCTCCACGTCCTGCAGTTGGGGCCACCTCCCACCAATGCGACCTTACCCGCCATGGCCATGGAGCACATCGTCGAGTAAGGCTCCTCGCCCAGCATGTCCTGGCCCAGGTCTCCACCCTTTCTCCTGATATCCACCGCCCAAATGTACTCCGAGAAGGCCGGGTTGTAGGCATGGAGGTAGGCATCCAGGGCCCCCGCATCATCCTTCCCAGCGTACAGCAGGATGAGGGACGGCTTTGAAGACCCCGGCACTGGCCTCGGCGTCCACCCCAGTCTGAGCCTCAGTCTTTCCGGGATGTCCTGCATCCATGGGAAGGTGGGGCTTGCCCCCCCTAGGGATTCCGTGTGACCTTTGTCTGATCCCCCCGTCATCTGTCCCCGGGCTTGATGCTTGCCCTGGCGGTTCTTCCCGCCCTTGGAACGCCCCTTGCTGGGCGGATCCTCACCTCTGGGTCTCTCTGGGGGGTCTTCCCACTGCCTTGGTGGGTGCGGGGGAAAGGGATGCTTCCGCCCTTCTGGAGTGCCCTGGCTGGGACCGCTCCTCTTCTTCGGTGGAGGGGCTTCCGGGGCCGGTGGCACCCTGGAGAAGTCCCCTCTCTGAGGCCGTCCTGGCCTCCCCCGCTCTGTCTGCCTTCCGCTGTGGCTCTGGTGGGGCTGGCTCTCCCCCTCTGTGTGCACTCTCGCACTGGTGGCCTGTGATCCCAAGAGACCGGGAAGCCACGGGGCCTATGGCACCCTGGGTGGCCTCCTGTCACTTGGGAAGGTGAGGGCATGCCTGTGGCGCATGCTTCGATGGGGGGGCATCACACACCCACCCATCCTTCCTGACCGGGCAGTTGTGGGAACGGCCGCACGATCCCGAACACTTGTTGTGGAGGTGATGATCTCTGCAGTACGCCACCCCTTTGGGATTCTTGAAAGCCCAGTGGTCCGGCCATGGAACCGAGGGGGAGTTGGGGGACTTCCCCTTGCCGCCCTTGCCTTCTTCGGCTTCTCCCACTGAGTCTGCCACACCTTAGGTGCCTTGCCCTTGTTCTTCCCCTTCTCCGGCGCCCTGTTGAGGTGCTCAGAGACCTCCCGTTGCCAGAAGAGGAAGTCGCCCCTGATATTCTTGAGGGCATCGGAGAGGGTGGTGCCCTGGTGCACCATCTCGTGGATCTTCCTCCACGCATTGCGCTCTGCAAACAGCAAGGTGGTGTCACTCGGGGGAGGCCTTCTGCCAGCGATGTCCTCCCCATAGAACCAGTCATACCAATCGTCCAGCTCCGCCTTGGTGACCTTCAGGTTGCCAAACTGTGGCAGTGCCG